CGCCGCGCAAACATATTTCTCTCGAGATGAGTTCGGGCGATCATTTTCGTTCTCTATGCGCGTCCTGCCATTGCCGAGACACGTCTGCCGTTTCATCTGCCAGCTCGGCTTCGGTTTCATACGCAGACTCGCATCATTATGGCGCACCGCAGCCGATGAGCGGAATAGCGTAATAGGTTTCTCCGTTTCGTTTCGCGCGCCAAGATAGGCGCGCTCTTTTGTCTATGGATATTTATTTCTCCGCGCGAGTTTTAGTGAAAGTTTTGACGCGCGTTTAACAATGCATCGAACAATAGGTAAGTGGGAAAGCGTTAAGTTATTGTTACGGGAGAGAGAGAGAGAAAAAAATAACGTCATTAATGACTTGGTCGTTTACGGCTACGTGATACGGTCACATAATACATTAGCGTTGTTCCTTTACCCGCTCACATTGCCGTTGTATTGTCACAAAGGGCAACTGCGATGAATGATATAAAATGGTACTACATGTGTTCCACCACACTGCATATTTCATTCTCTTACACGACCCGACGTATCGATCGCGTCACGAGATATGTTCAGTTACTTGTACAAAAGTCGTTTTAGTTTCTCGCGCCGTAAATCGGCGTAGGCGTGTCTCAATCTGCATCGCGCATAAAGTAACGGTGTAATAGCATGCCTCGTCGTTACCTTTTTTTGGTAGGACTTCAAGAAATATAGGTAATAAAGTACAGTGTGAATGTGAATATATATTTTAGCGTCCTCGCGTTTCCATTCCGTAAAGCACTATCGACAGCTGCGAGGCGTAGCGAAAAGTGGCCCGACAGTCGACCGCTTGTCTCTGATGGATTCTCAGATTTCTAAGCAAACTTTGCCGCGGGTTTTCTCCGGTCCTTTTGCGGCCGGCAGCGGAGCTCTTCGAAGAGCTAAATTAGCAACGATGATCGGCACAACACCGAACGGCCGAGCGTAACGTCCGGAGTAAATCTCATTGTGCGCCTGTATACCGGGGGTCATTAGTCATGACCTTTGTACGAATGAATACGAAGATTAACTGGTAGGCGTTAGCGTGGGCGGGCAGCTCGGGATCTCTCCGACATTCACGAGCACCTGGAGAATCCTCCTCGCCGGCGGAATTACATGGAAAGGCGGAAAGGGACAGGATGGGAAAAGCGCGAGGGGACACCGGTACACCCCCGCTGCGGTCTGCTAATGAGAACCTCCGTGGGACATTCGTCTTTCACGCCGGACACGTTGACACATTTCTGCCTCTCGGCCGGAATGGAACAAGACGCACAACCGGCCGAGAGCATCTGGCCACGCGACAGTCGCTGTCTCCTCGCTTCCGAGACGAGCGCTTTAGCCAGTTGACGCGTGATATTCCGGCGCAGTATTCGCCTGTCTTATTCGGTAATTTATGTGTTTCCTTCGCGCCGGTGTCACGACGAATTCTGACAATCTCCGAGCGACGACAGGCCGCGGAACGATCGCGTTATCGATCGCGCCTGGTGATGACGAACATTTGTATTTTTTTTTTTAGAAACTCGATTGCGATCGAGTTGTCCACTTTTGTCCGCTTTAGTCCGAATTGAAATTTCTGCCATTGTATTCCACGGATATACGCTGTGATACACGCAAAGCATTTAAGTGCTCGCTGAGTCTTATGATCATTCGACCGTTGCTTACAAAGTACGTAGAAACTCGAGCTTCGCATTGTTATCAAAGACACGAGCAGCATCGCCGATGAAAGACGACGCCGGGGCCATTCCGGGCGGAGAAAAGTCTCGACCCGGGATATAATTTCTCTTTATTAGATACAGCGTGTCGTTGCCGAGGATAAAAGCGTCGCAATAAAGCCAAAATTCTTTTGATATCGGAGTATATCGCGACGCGGTCGAGATAGGCGCGGGACAAAAGGGGCGCGCGCGCGCGCGCGCATCCCCCTGCGAAACGCGCCGCGTTCTCACCCCTCGAACTAAACTGGCGAGCCGGTATTAGCCGGCGGCATCTTGATATCATCCGGCGAACTTGCCAACTCCTTTATACAGACATTTATTTCCCGGCGTATATCTGTTACAGCCAAGTGGCGGTCTCGCAGATTGTACTACTTTGCTTTGCGCCGACCCATTCTAGGCCCCCCCGCCTTCTTTTACTGTGCGAGTTCTTTTCGCGGAAAACATAATCGTAAGTCATTCCCTATTGTCGCGTAAAAGCAATTACATCGCTCATACGAGGACGTTACGCACTTGGAGCCGGAACGGAGCAGTCATTTTTAATATCGTATCTGCGAAAATGTTGCACGACGCCCACGCTTCTTTTTATTTAAAGAGACGAAATTTTTGCAATAACGCCGTTTATATTACACTTTCACCATCGACGTTTCCCGCATCACTCGACGAAATGTGGCGCGCATCGCTAACTATATTTGTAAATGCAGTTGTATATCCCGACCCAGATATCCAATTCGAGTTTCACTCTAAGCGCTCTCAGTAAAATGGGAAAGCCGGCCGTATATCGTCCTAAAGCGGCCTCTAGCTCCTCTGGCGACCTCTCCGGCTTTATGCCAGCGAGAACAGCCAACTATACGCCACGCAAGAAAACACAAACTTTATACGTTACGATGAAACTACCGCATCGAGGGGAACAAAAGACCCGCGCGGAGACATTACGGAAGAGGAAAATACGTGGCGGCGAGCTGCTGCGGGGGCTCGTAAAGAGGGAACGTAGAGCGCCGGTATAACGTCGACGACAACGTTTATACGCGAACGCCTTGCTCGTTTTTTTTTTTTCTTTTAAATTGTTTCGTCGGCTAATCTCTGTACTGCGCTGGCTAACTTTTATATATATATAAAAAAAAACGATTTGCAAAGTGTATATACGTATGTCTGCATGTGCTTAGTCGCAGATACGGACTGTTTTTAATAAAAAAAAAAAAATGCAAATAATCCCTGACTTATGTTTCCGTATTCTGTTTTAATCGCGTGGCAACAAATGCGGCGGAAGCCGGAGTCGCCCTCGTCGCCCGCGATTTCTGGGCCACCTGTCCTCGATGAACTTCCCTTTGGCGTATCCTGTACACGTGTAGAACGTATCCTGTTGCCCTGCGGGTTAGCGGCGTATTTGTTAATGCTCGTGCGCGATCAGCGTGCGGCCTCCGTGCAAACATGTCAACTTGTCGCGCCGCAGTGACTCCACACGCGGACAGGGACAGTCGGCCGCTCGGTCACTGTTGCATGTCACGACACTGTTGCTATTTAGCCTTCCATCACTCCTGTCTTTTATGCCACTCACGTGACACGCGCATTACCGACTCTTGTGGAAGCCGCTTTCCGCGCCACTGACAGGTATGTTTTATACCGTGTACGCCCGCCGTGACCCGGGCAAATTGGATTTTTCTATCGCGGCTAAAGCGAGCGCGATTTAAGCGAAACCGGTCTCTCGCCGCTGATTGCTGGATGTTTGACAATTTATTATATCCGAGTGAAATCTGTGCCATTTGTTATCGCATTAAGGGGAGCGGCGACTCTAATTTACGGGGAAGGATTTTGCGAAGAGGAAAATCTTAATCTCCCTCGCGACTTGGAATCAATTTAGCCGAGTTTGAAAAATTTCGTCACCGCAGAATTTGTCAATTTTTTTCACGAATATCGACATTGAATTTTTACGAGCACGTTTCATTAATATTCTGTCTCGGGTCGAGCCATCGTGATTCATATAACCTGCCTTTTGTGTTAGCTGAAAGGAGAGAGTTCCGAGGACACTTACAGCATAAATAATGATATCTCCCCTGGTCCGCATTCAACCGCCGCTCCCCAGCCAATGAGCAACGCCTCCCTATCACCGAAAGTGACTGACAAGCACTCCATCAGCATCATATTTCCTAAACATAACGAGATTAGGTCGCATTGTGACGGCGCTCAAAGCTAATTTACATTCTAATCCGTACACGTTTCCGCCCTATCTTCGAGTCTCTCTATTATGTCTATCAATGGCATTTTTATGCTACCTCTTCCGTGTATATCGTATGCATTTCAAATATTTTCGCGATAATATCCGGAAAATAATCTTCAGGATATTTACATAAATTGATATTACTTCATCTGGATGTAATAACAAGTTATTCGGATAAGATGTATTATAAATGATAAAGTGTGAGAGTGAAAATGAGAAAGCAGCTATCGGAAGAGATTGTAAACTACTGTGAACGACGATAAGAGATTTAAAAATATATATTGTTGACACTAAAAAAATCCACCCATCTCAAGACAATTCTCTCTATCTGGTGAAACTTTACAAGTGCTATGTGGATGAGATAAAGAAGTGATAACGACATCTAATCTAATGATATCTAATTATAACGTTTGTTATCGGTCAGAGATAACGAATTTAGAAATATTTTATTGAGGTCGGTTTTTTTTTTGTTGAACAATTTATGTTGATAATTTATATACGCTACATGGTTGTATATTGAAATCCGGCTAATGTAAAACTTTCACAAGACTACCTTCACGTTGACAAGGTGTCGTATTAAAGAAATAAGAAGAAAAAGAACGAACTGTCAAATGAAAGAGCGTGTCAGATGGAATTAGGCATGGTTCGGCAGATTAACCGTTTGGCTCGACACGCCGTTAGAGGATAACAATTTAGAGCGAGCAAAAGTAGATTGACGGTGGCAGCGTTTGTGAAATGTTCGCGCGAGCTGTCATTTTCTATCATACAATCTTACTAATTATCTCACCGGAGTTATTCGCGCCGCTTAAAAGTGGTAAATCCAGCCCCGCTCTTTTATCGTATCGAAGGCGATCTTGCATGGTGATTTGCGCATGCACAGAATTTCTAATAATATGTTTGCGGAACGAAGATAACAATAAAATATTTCCCAAACTTTAATTACACTTGAATCTTACAATTGCGTTGCGTAATTATCTCACAATTACGCACCATTATTCATTGATAGTAAAAACGAAGAAAACGCAAATAACTGATCTACTTAACGAATGTCGCTTTCCTTCTCATTTCAGTCCCATGATTTTTGACAACAAGCGGCGCGACTACATTTTTATCGCAGCACGCACTGCGTCGTCGTAATCGAGCCACGCCAGTTGGTCCTCATTGTGCGCCGATATACATACAAGGCGGGCAGGGACACACGAATATCAATGTAAAGCGAGGCGAATCCGGGGGCTAGGAGCAATCTCGGCAGTGGATCGGCCAGCGGATGACAGGTATCGACCTGGATCAACATCATTTTCCTGTGAAGTGCCACCGGCCCTATCCCGCTCTCTTCTCCTCTGCCTCCTGTCCGTTCACTGTGTGCGTCTCTTCCTAGTCTATAACCTAGGGCATATGCGTATAAGCTTGTGCATGAAGAGCGAGCTAGAGAGAGAGAGAGAGAGAGAGAGGGGAGGGAGGGAGAGAGAGAGAAGGAGAAAGAGGGACTGACGAGAGGGACGAAAGGCAGGGCGAGAGCGAGAGAATTATTAGCTGGCTACTCTACTCCACTACCTACCGTGTTTCTTGATTACTATCGGCGCAGCTGCGCCCACAATTTGTGTTTCCCGTCAACCGTGCGTAAGAGAGCCGTCCGTCAACGTCGTGCCCATAACGATGCCATAGTCTGATGCTGAGACGCCGCTGATAACCCGATATAGACACGTATCCGTCATAAGGCGCGTACTCGTAATGTATTCTTTCGCCCACCGATATATCGCGCGAAGCGCGCGCGCTCGCTATACGCTTTTAATAATACGCTCTTGAATGAGGAGGCTGGAGACGACGGTCTGCGACGTCTGCGGACAGGCGTTAACAAGCGTGCGTGCATAAATCATGGCTCTGTCAATTAAACACGATTAATGCAAGCATTATGTATCGGCTGGTAAATATGGAGGATTTATCGCGCGGACAAGACAAGCGCACAAAAGGTATGTTTTATGCGCGTAATTAACAATGACGATAATGATGAAATTATGTGCGATTTTTTCCCCGTCATTTATAACTCACGCAAATTGCACAGACGAGAGAGAGACGGGTTGCACAACTGCTAATAGAATTGCGCGACACGAGCTCCTCCGTGAGACATAATGCTATTTTAATCGTTGGGCGAATGAGCCGGTGTCATAGTTACATCCTACTCGCATCTTGCACACCTCTTGGGCGTGGCAAATTGCGCGCCGACATGTAATAGCGCGATTAAGTCGAATTAGTTTTTTCCGATCGCGGGTATTATTTACAGGTCGTATCGAGTTGAGTACAAACGCGAGTATAACCACTATGACACGGCAATAATTTGCCTCAAGATGACATGAGTGCACGCAATATGAATAAATAATATGTTAAATGAAAGATCATAAAATACCGGTTGCGGCGATGATAAAAAATGCAAGAACTGTACACTTGAAAACTGGTTTTAAAAGCTTTCCTAGCAGTTTCGGAGTCATTTTATTGTTAACACGCGAGCAACGTGCGGCATATAAACAACTTGGCATTTTAATATACTTCTTTTACATATTAAACTTAAAATATATACATATATACATATATATTATATTCATTTCATTCCCCGCATTATACGCTTTGCACAAAACTTTCCAGATTTGGATATCCTACTTTCGCGGTCTTTTTTCCCTCTCCTGTTTAATCATAATTTTCCAGGTTGTCTGGGCGGGACTGCGAACGTGGTAGAAATGGACCGACGTTCGTTTTGTGGCAGGAGAAAAAGTAGGGAGAGAGGCGGTTGAAATTTACCGCCGGCGGACAGAGGAGTGGCTGCATGGCGGGCTGTCAGCTGTTTTCCGAATTCTGTCAATTCTTGTCAGTTGCATCGACCAGTTTAGCATAAAAATGCTGTTACGGTAGATGGTCGGCTTTCGAAGGCTTTGGCCGACACGGTACAAACGTATCGTATATCAAAGCAGGCGGCCATGGACGGGGAAAATAAGAAAGTTTTTGTTCTTTTTATGAAGCCACGGTCGCCGTGGGCGGTGTCTGATATACGATCGGTGTTCAGCGTTTTGTTGACGAAAAAGCTACTGCATCGGCATGCATTTTATCTGGTATACGCGAACATCTTCAATAATATTTAGCGTAAAGTATACACACATATATATATATATATGAATAATAAAGCGTGTCTTTTTACAAAAATTGATATGCAATATAAGTCGCGGCGGTGCATCTATTACGAAATTTGCAACACCTCGAGCATGTCCGCGCTTGTAATAACATGCTGCAGGTGAGCGCTAGATCTAATCGAACGCATACATGAATTTCTATTTCGGTCTTCAAACACTGCATCGCAACGGTCCGCTTTCCCAGATAATTCCCAGATTGAATTTCAAGTATATACGAGCGCATATATATGATCCTTGCTGATTTATCGGTCAGATGTTTCATCGGTCAGGTGCTAAACAAGCTGCCATATAAAATTCCAAGCGGAATTCATTAAAATGTCTCGAAAGCGATATCCATATATGCCGGGGAGTGGCGCAAATTTCAGGGCACGCCGGGTTTGGGCCTATTCCCCGGATGCCTATTTAACTACTGTAGTTAACGTAATATGACATCCGCCGCGGCAAGCGATTACGGCGAACACGCGATGCAAATTTACGGTATTATCGTAATAAACAGGTTATAAAGGTTGATAGCTTCCTCGTGTATTGAAATTACACCACTGCCGTGCGGCTTTTACACGCTCGTGTCTGCGACGCGACGGGTGTATGCGTATGCGTCCCCGCGCGCCCATACATACATACACACACACACACACATACACACACACACACACCACGCGCGCGCACGTGCATATACGTCGGACGTATACAAACCGGGTACGTTATTAAGAATGTTAACGTATGCTCGTGACGGGCTGTCAGGAACCCCCTTATCCGGCTGAGCTCGCCTCGGCTGGCAGATATAAATATGCAATAGCGCTTGTCATGCGCAGCGCCTAATAATTGAATGTATAATAAAGAAGGCGTCGCTCGGTGTCATGCTGACAGACAGACTACAGAGAGACTACGAGCGAGAGGAGCGCGCAGACAAACGTCGACTGTCAATTTCATTTGCTTCTTCCACCGAGCCGCCTGTCTGCTTATCTCGGACGTCTTTCGCGATTGCTCCCGATCGCCGTGGAACGTAGAATCGACGCTTCCTGTCCTTTTTACGAACCGTGCATTAATTAGGGATTTTATTTCGATCCGCCCAACTTCATCATCATTCTCGAAAGTGAGCTCTCGCGATGGCCCGATCATTACCGGTCATTGCTTTTTTTTTTATTTCACCACGATTATTAGCATATTTTATTATTCATCAATATGTCAGCGAGACAAACAGATATTAATCGAGACGGGGATCTAATTTAACATTTTATTCTTCCGATCTTTCGCTCTGAGCCGCGCTAAGCGCATTTCGAATTCTCTTTCTCGATTTTAATCCCGGCGCTGCGGACCTAACGAGTGTAACGGCGACGATAAAAATATCGTTCAAACGCCATCAGCGGGATGGTAGCCTATCGCACGCCAAAAGAAGAGGGCTGTAAACGGCCGATTCGATATCCATTTGAGACTGAGAGTGCCCTCCACTTCCGTGACAGCTAGGCAAACACCGAGCTGACGTTTAGAATAGCTTTTATTTATTCTAGCTTGTTTATTTAGGCTGCCGGGATCGCGTTACCTGAGAGGCCTTTGAGTGGCAGCGGGGGGGAAGGCTACCGTGTCAGCACCGGACCCATTGTCACGCATCAACCCATCGCGTCCAGGACGACGCAAGCGCGTGACGCGAGCGTAACTGTGACGTATGTGCATGTGAAGATTACGCGCGGGCTCCGGATCGAAAATAATATTTTCATTGGAATTTTCTGCTACTACGCGCCGCTTTTTACACAAACACCCCCTTTCGCGCGCTCGACATCGAGCCGTGTTCTCGACTATGTTTCAGGGGGGGAAAAAAAAACGAAAAAAACAAAAAAAAAAAAGAAATGAGACACGTGTAGCGTATTTACAATGCGTCATTCCGTTGTTGAAGCCATTAATTTTCTAGCGTGCGCGCTTTCCGCGGGACGTATACGGAGAATGTTTCTAGATCACCCGGTGTACTGAATACGAACTGGAGGCGTAATGTATTATACCGGCCAGGCAGGTATATTACAGAGACCCGCAGTTATGCGCGACGGGATATGATTGATGACAAGTCGTTGCCTGTTATGAATATAATATCGATCAATCACGCTATTTACCGGACGAATGCATAGGCCCACTCTATCATCCTCCCGTAGTTACCTACCTACCTATCTATATCTCTTCCGACGCGACCTGCTTCCATCTAAGCTCGGAGTCATTTTTCATTACTCACGGTAACGAATGGTACGAATTGTGTACGATTTCTTCGCGAGCCCCCGTCGACTTATCGAACGAAATTGATTCCGCGGTGATACGTGTCTATCCCCGCCGTATCCCGATTCGCTATCAAGATTGTCCCAAATTAATGAATAACAGATTGGGTTCCCCGTACGATCGCGCGATTGTGAAATCTCTCTCTCTCTCTCTTTCTCGCTCTCGCTCTCTTGACTGATTCAATAAGTTAGCGAGTAATATTGCATTATTAATTCTAGCACATGCGCGGCGCGTACGCTTAACGAGCTCTTGTACCAAAACGGAAGTTGATTAAGAGTGATTTATGATTGCGGAACTTACATTTTTATGGAAGGTAACAGAGAGGTGGAACGGAAACCGCGGGTTTTTATGGCAGAAAAAACGATTATCATTCACGCAAGTCTTACATTTCAGCGCGCATTAATTATAGCTTAAAACACAAATTAACAAAGTGGCGGCATTAAGTGACGTGATGTATGACAAAGCAAGTAGGAAACTGTTTTTTACTTCTCACGCGAACGGATAACTTTTATTGGCGCGAGAGAGGCGATCGCTGAGATATCGTCATAAATAAACATTACTTTTGCAAAACACGCCACCGCCGATTTATCGCTGGAAATATGCATTATATTAAATATTTTTCATGCTCAACCTGTGTGTGCGGGACCTGCTTGGGTGAAACACTCGAAGACACGGCAGTAAATAAGAGATGTTCAATTAGCAACATCTTGTTACTTTCGCGTGTATCGCACGCGCGCGAACTTGGCAGATATTCTCGCAAGGCACGGGTCGACGTCACGAGCAAGGCAGCTGGTGAAATGTAGGAAGCGAAATTCATGAATTCATATATTCCTCGGTCAGATAGCCCAGTCCCCGCAGCATTAGCCGGAGTCGCAGTATCCGGAGATAGACGACGCTCAATAATAAGCGAAGCCTCGTTAAACTCTTGATAATAGGGTGATTATTTCTTGCTTCACGAGTCTTTCCAGCAATTCTGGTCTCGCCTCGAGTGCCTTTCAGCCGTTCTTTGTGGAGCACGACGCGTACGTACGGAAAAGGAGGCAGCAGCACAGCAGCAGCAACCTCGTAGAAGGAGGCGTGGCTCGGTGCCGTGCTAACGACTCTCGCAAAATCGTTTCCCCCTGCGCCATCTTGAAGATCCGACGTGACGTTAAACGAACTATGCCGGAGCGAGGAAGTTCGGAACGAGGCGGTAACGACGAGGCACGCCGTAGGAGTCATTTATCACTGGTCGTACTTTAAGGTACGTACCTGTCGACAACAATTGAATTTCAGGATTCCCCGGTCTCGGAGCTCATGTAAACAAAGGTGTTCTTCCACAGTTTTAGATTAGATTACCACCATCGGTTTTCAAGAGCTGCCGATTGTCGCTTACGGCCTATCGGATAATTGATAGCTCGACCGTTTCGAGAGAGATTACTTTTGTGAGCGCGCGAGCTTTATGTTAATTAGTTACGGCGATTGCACGACTGTCGTCCATTTCAGCCAATACCGTTAGCTGTCATAGATATTTCGAACGTAACGACCGAGAAATAAATTGTGCTTTCTCCGCCGATAAATCATGATTTTAATTTCACGGTAGTCCTGATTAAAAAATTAGGAACGACGGGGGATAATCTGTGGAATATTTATTTTCCCTCTTACGCGGGGATTTACCGAAGGAGGATACGGCAAAAGGTACGTCATGCCCCGGCGCTATCTGATCATCGCTTTCCGTGCGTTGTCTCGTTCACGGGGCGGCACCCGACCAACTATCGGAAGCTTATACGCATTCTTTTTTTCGCCAACAAAAGGTCGTTAAAAATCCGTTAGATGCGGCTGTCAGATAGGTGCGGCACTAGTGCGGTTACGAGAGGAGCTCTCAAGTTGAGCTCTTTGTGCGTGATTTGAATGCAATCCGAGGGATGGTGTGTAGGGTAGGTAGGTAGGTAGGTAGGTAGGTAGGTAGCATCGCGGGAGTAGGGGGCGAAGTGCGGATTGAAGCGAGAGAACACCCGTGGCAGGGGTTTGGCGGCGCTAATCTCCGATCAGTGTCGAGAGCGTAACGCGATCCGACGCGACGTGACGTGATCCAGACTCGATAGCCAGCGAATACGAAGCCCGCTGCACAGCCTGTGCAACGGCGGTGTCGAGAAGGGCGAAGCTGCTGAGGCTTTACAAAGCATAGTGTGCGCTAAGTTCGACATGGATGGTTTCACGTGACGTGTCTTGCCAAATTGGACTACTTATCGTCTGGGATCGCGGTATATGTGGTGGTAGTGGTAAGATTAATATGCATCTTGATGGCGAGAGTGAACAAGAGTTCCGAGCGCGTATGTCGTCGACAATATTAATTTCTTCACAGAGGAATAAATTTCTCTTTCCTCTTTCTTTTTACATATATCCGATTGTACCGCTCCTTTTTTGCAGATTTTAATTTAATATTGTAAGAATCTATAAATCTCTCTCGCAGAGAGAGAGAGAGAGAGAGAGAGAGCTACCGCAATGCTACATTCAGCAGTCGCGTTGCATTATTCAGCATTTTTTAATCCTGTTTGAGAAACGCTTGTACGCAGTCGAACGCGCACATAAAAGTAGCTAATCACGCTCGTTCGCTTCGGGCTATATTTTGGAAATGCGCGCGCGGCGCGCATGTTGTATAGCGAGCGTCAAGAGTCGCACCACCCTTGCGTGCAGCCGAGCGCTTGTAATACAAACTCCAATGTAGTATGTAGTACCCACACGATGCTGTCACAAGTGCTCACACGTCATTGTGACATTGTGAGCGCCCACGGGAGTGTGAGGAACCAGTTGTCGAGAGCAACAGCTGCTCGACCCGTAACCCACATACATCACCGCACGTCATTGTTCGCAGCGTGCATTATTCGAAACAGGTATGGGGACGCACCTTGGCGTTACGTCACTAGGGAGACACTAGAGCTAATGGATGTACGTCACCGTAGGACCAAGGAATGACCGATGGCATTGCGCAATCGCATGTGAGATTGGCGAGCCTATTTATCGCGGCGATTTTTATGTGCATCTCATTACCGAAGCAAGCGAGGAATATTATTTTGTCTACCGGTTTGAGGAACATCGTTCATCTCCCAGAGAGCATTATTTGATCAATCTATTGTGGCTGTTCATCTCGACATTTATAACCGCGCGACGCTGCATTCGTAAATTTGTGCTTATTTCTAGTTTCTTCATATTTACCGAAATCGTGTTATTCATTTTCTAGTTTCTATCTGCCGTATCTTTTTGACGTAAAACGCACAAGAGCGACGAAATAAAAACATCGTCATTCGTCCGTGGCAATCAATTAAGTTATGATGATTTGTATCCTCCGCAAACTGCATCAGTCAAACTCCGCGTTCGTTCTCTCTCTTCTCTCTCTGGCTGTGGCTTTTCGGTAGCGCGACCGGCGAAACGTCAGGTAGATTTGTAGGTGGAAACAAGGCCGTCTGTCACGTGGCGCGGCTTTGACGGGCTGTCGCCGAGGCGAGAGATAAAATGCGTTTCCATTTCCTCGCGCAGGCAGCGGCGTGCCCCTCGTGCAATTTCAATATGAAACTGTGAATAATGCATGCCGGGGGATTCCGAGCCGCCGACATCGTCACGCAGCTCACATCCTGCCGCGATGTAAAACTGAGATAGATGGAACGCGGTAAGTTTGAATAATGAGCGCCCGTAACGATGATACGACGGCTACTCCCGCGAGCGTCACCTCACCCGGTAGCGCACGGAGCCCGGAGTCCTTCGCGGTGGAAAATCCAGCGCGCAGTCGTATAAGTCAGTCTAGCCGACTCATTAGCCAGTCCACTGAAGGCCATTTATCATTCAAAGCCCGGCGGAGTATACTCCTGCCGCGATACATTGTACCTACCACTTGATTCTTCCATCAGCCATATGCGAAATTTATGTCCTCCGCAATATTCCTTTCCTCGAGGTATTCCTTCCGCGCGCGATTCAAGATGTTTTCACGAGGCGTTTTCCAGCCGGTTTTACACACGACGCATATATTTGAATTCGGATCGATGCGCACGCCCATCTTTACCGTATAATTTAAAATAAAAACTGTTATTACACCACTCGCGGCGATTGGAAACACGGCGTATGATGTAGAATTGGCATCGCGTATGCGAGGATTGTACAAGCGCCGTGTATACTCAACACTCCACGCGCCTTGTCTTGAAAAGTCTGTCCTACGGACTGGGGTGAGTCATCTCCTGTTTTATTCGTTAAGCAGCGCATCGATATTGCGAGACTTGAGTTACCTCATATCGCGTCTCGGTTTACTCGGCAAAGGCTCTTCCCACGAATCTTCGCGAAACAAGAGACCGGATTAACATTATCTCACCATCCGATCCATCTTGATCTTTACGAGCACTTCTTCGTCGAATGTAAAGAACGGCGATGATCGCGCCTGCGAACAACGGGCGCTTATATGTCAGGAATATTATCCTGATTAGAGATTTCACATAAAACATGAGTTAGGCGCTCTCAAGATTGTAAACTTGAGCGGGTAAATATCGCAGCGATTAGCGGAGTATTTCAACGCTCCGCCGCTCGGCCTGAAAAGTGAATATTCGCCAAATCGTTTGGCGACCGACCGACCGGTCGAACTGCGCGCCGGATATTAGAAGGGCACTCAACGCGGCGGGAGGAAACAAGCACAATGGCTTCGCGCCTTCCTAATCCCGTGGAATCTCTCGGCCATATGTAAGGATTACCTTGGTCCGACTCAACATGGTCGCGTTGTCGCGCTAAAGCCGCGGACCCGCCATTAGCCAGTGGTGTTTGCCGGGTAGCCAGGTCCACAAGCTTAGAGACGCTATCAGCGATGGCTTAGTTGGCCTTCTTTCTATCTCATCCCGTGATCCGACTAGGTGGTACTTGGTCCTGGTTACAACACGTTCGCCGCGATGCTCGGGAGGTGTAACGAGCCGATAGTTATCTTCATCGCGGCGACTGAAGGCGATAGCGTGGCTTCGAAATGGGGATAGGTGGAGGTGGGACACGCTGGCAATAGGTAAAAGGAATAGCGTCTGCCGACGGTAAGACGGCACTTGGTAAGAGGTTACGACTGATACCGGACGCTCTCTTCCACGCCGTGTTCATTACGACCAACCCTCCCGCGAATCGTTAGCGAGCGAAAAAGCATCGCGTTATCATTTCATCGCTCGATATCTCAAAAATTAGACGCAAATTAATATTTGATTTCATCGTAAAATTGAAAGGATCGTCTCTCTTCAAATAAATGTGAATGTCATTTCATTTTAATTACGATCGTAATTTGTCTGTCGAAGCGCGCAGTTAAATTAGTCACAATTACACTTTATTCGCGCATCTTTATGAATAATATTTTATAAATGATAAGTTGGCTGGGAAAATACGACGCGAAGTGAAAATCCAATTCGCGTCAGTCATCGGCGGCAAAAAGTCATCTTGAAAACCACGACCTGTCACTGCGCTCCATACCACGGTTCACCGTTCTATTCACGCTTGCCGAAACCGTTGAAGGACAGCCGGGCAGAGGCACGGCGCGCCGAGTGGATCCGCGTTGTCAGAAAGCGAAGCGCCGCACACGTTAATTTGATTTTCCCCGACGCATTTTGGTAACGGGCGTCCCTCGCCATTCCCTACCTCGAGGTCGCGACGTCGAGCGTTACGTGTCTGCGGAAGACGGGACCGGGCAATTTATCAATCCACGAGCGAGAGAACGACTCCTGGCCGGGCGGGTAATTTAACAAGATTGATGCGAAGCCGACATGCCACAGTTTCGCAGCTCGCCGTGAAGGGGGTCGGCAGTCAGTGTTGGCGGTGTAGCCGGGCGAGGGGTGACGTTGGTGCCGTCGGAGCGGGCGGAAAGGGTGGCAGGCAGACGTGTGAGCGACTGGTTATTAGGAGGCCTCATCACGCAGAGCCACGGCGCGCAGAATCACGCGGGCATTAAAACAACGCCGCGCGACTGATGGCGGTTGCTAACATCGTCGCGGCTGCCACGTTTTCGCCGGCGCGTAACGTGCTTTTTGACAAATGTCGGCATCGTTATGAACTTCGTGAGAAGGTAAATGAAGTTGGACGTCCCTTTTTTCCCCGACCGAGAGACGGGAAGGAGGAGAGGGAGGGGGGGGGGGGTTAGACGGAACTGCCGCTCTATATTTATCCACGTTGATTAACATCACGACAATCCATCATTTTACATTTCAAATGTGACGGCTGTCGGCGTGCATACAAAACACATGAGATGGTACGACGTTAATGTGTAAGCATGAGTATTGGAAAAAAATTATAAATGCGGCGCGGAACCTGTGTGCGTTATATAATTTCGCATTTATATTTTAATCATCCACATCTCTGAATGCTCTACGTTTTAATTTGTAACATAACAACTCTTTCGCGCTTTCTTTTTTGCTATAATATAATTCGTACTCGTCGTATTCGTATATCGTTATACGTCAGATGTCAGTTTCACGTTACAAAAACATGTTTCTGAATTATCAAGAATTGTGCGCCACTTTTGGACGCTTCGACAATCATTTACTGTTATATTAAAACTTCCATATGGAAGTTACATGACTGACCATAAGTCTACGCACGTATACGACGTACGGCCATATATTATGGCAAGAGTTCGTAAATATCGAGGGAGAGAACAAACGGCGTGAAAATGAAGGAGGGTGGGCTTGCTCGTTAATCATTTCCTTTATGTTTCAGGGCGAGACTTACGAAGACACGCCGAACAAAGACCTCCTGCATGTAAAACATGCCCGAAAGCTTTTATGAGCGCGTATCAAAAACCTTAACGAACCTGGAGCGATTTTTGACAATGTGATGACAATGTAATCTTTTAGAAAATTATTTACTAGAAGCATCTGCTACATTATCGAGTTTGTCAGTCTTTATTTACTCGTATTGATTTCGCAATTTTGAAACATTTCGTTTTCACTACAAGCTCTGATTTGTCGAAAATAATGACAATTCCTAAATATACAAATTGCTCTTATTTGCAAATAAATTTACTCATATCGATTTCACAATTTTGGAAAATTTCCTTTTTACTGCAAGAGTTCTGATTTATCGAAAATAATAACAATTCTCCAATATACAAATTACTCACTTTTATTGATAAATAAATTTACTCATTTTGATCTAATAATTTGACAAAACTTTTCACTACAAACTCTGATTTATGACAAATGATAACAATTCTCAAATTGTTTGCTTTCATTTGCAAATAAATTTGCAAATCAATTCGCATTGATCTATCAGAGTTTTTGAAAAATTTTCTTTTTACTACAAACTCTGATTTATCGTGAATAATAACAATTTCCAGATGTAAATGGCTTGCTCTTATTTGTAAATAAATTTAAATAATGAAGACCATATATAAGCGAGATCTTTTCCTCTATTTATTCTGTCCCACTAATCTACGCAGCTTGGCCGCAGAATTTTCACGCTCGGTAATGGCGGGTAACCACGATCCTTCGTCTAGGCGACGTTTGTGCATTATTCACCCACGCACAGGGATGATCCAGCGAACCGTCAAGGGCAGTAGCAAGTGCAAGAGGGGAAGCAATATTAATTGGCTCGTTTATTGCGACGTGGGTGGCCGCGGGCGCTGGTTTCTCCGTCAACTTTCAGTCGGGGAGTTAGGTGGCTCGCGTTGTAAGGGTTGCGGGGGTAATCTGGCGCACGACGTGCCGCAGTAAATCACCGCTGGCCTCCCGCTCCGCGCCACTTAACTACCTTTTCTACCTTCACCTCTTACTCTTTCGCTTCTAAAAGCTTCTCTCTCTCTCTCTCTCTCT